TTTGATTTAAAGTCTCTACTAGCCACAGGTGTTTCATATCATATGAGAAGCTATAGCCAACCCAGTCTGGCAAGAAAAGAAAATGAAAATTATCAATGCTCGAAAAAAAAAATAGGTCATTATTTTCAGATATCCATCCAGAAAAGTAAAGCTTCATGACTGAAAAATAAACCACCAAGAATATAGGAAGTTGGACTAGATGTAACATTTTTAAAATCGGCAGGCCTAGATTAAAAAGTGAAAAGTCGTTCACAGCAGAAACTGAAGCACTGAAGTGTTGGTCTAACATGATCTCCATGAGGAAAACCATCCAGAGTTTCAAAGCAACTTAGACTCTCTCTACCAACGAGAACCCAGTGGGTGTAAAGAAGAGCTGATGAGCTTGACCTTCAAGCTCTCCACACAGAAGAAATCCTTCCAATATGTAACAGAACTTTACTTTTTTACCCTTTTTGAGTATTTGTTTGAGACATGATCTCACTATGTAACCCAGGCTGACCTCAAACTCTGTGATCATCGTGCCTCAGCCTCCCAAATCCTGGGGGATTATAGGCCTGTGCTACCAAAACTACTCTGTAACATCACTTTAAAACTGTGTTTATCATGTTATAAAAGGAACATACTATATTAAGCAAAAAAAAGAGGAGCCTCTAAAAAGGTGTATTGGCCAGGTTTGGTGGCATATACCTATAATCCCAACTCTCAGGTGGCTGAGGCAGGAGGATCACCATGAGTTCAAGGTCAGCCTGGGCTACATAAGCTAGTTCAAGGTCAGCCTGGACTGCATAGTGACAGCCTGTCTCAAAAAGCAAATCAACACACAAAAACAGGTGTATTTGAAGCTGTAGCAGGAAGTAGGTGGAAGCCATAAGACAGATCCAGAAGGAAATCCTTAAGAGGGCCTTTTTGGAGAGAAGTGTTTGGTCTAAATTTGGGAACATCCTGGATCCTTGTGATGTCATATCAGAGGGACACACAGATTGGCCCTCCTGGTGAGGATAAGCCTGGTGCTAGAAGGAGCTCCCATGACTGTGGCTTTCCTTCTGTCCTCAGCCAGTGAGTGGTGAGGAGCCCAGAGCTGCCCACACTGACCCTGCCCTGTGTCTCCACCCCACAGACCGTCCAGGCCTGCTGAATGTGAAGCCCATCGAGGACATTCAGGACAACCTGCTGCAAGCTCTGGAGCTCCAGCTCAAACTCAACCATCCCGAGTCCTCACAGCTGTTTGCCAAGCTGCTGCAGAAGATGACAGACCTCAGGCAGATTGTCACAGAGCACGTGCAGCTGCTGCAGGTGATCAAGAAGACGGAGACGGACATGAGCCTGCACCCACTGCTGCAGGAGATCTACAAGGACCTGTACTAGCGGGGGCTGCACCCCACCACCGATTGCACTAGTACCCAAGAAGAATCCACGCAGGTGACATTTACTGTGAACAAAAAAGCGTTTTAAAAAGAAAAGGTTTTAGAATATGATCTATTTTATGCATATTGTTTATAAAGATACATTTACAATTTACTTTTAATATTAAAAATTATCGTGTTCTAAAATGCTGAGCGTATTTGAAGACTCTTTCATGTCCTCCATCCACTCTTCTAGGCTTTTGTCCCCATCTGTCATTTTCATCCTTCTTTTGTTCTTTCTACTTAAAATGTGAATGGAATGATTGATTAACTTTCATTCTCCAGCAGATACTTTTACTCTTCACCATCATGGCCAGGAGGGAAGAGGGGACTTTGGCCCCAGAGCTGCGCCAAGCACGTTTCTTGTCTTGGGTGGTGGCACTGCCCTTAGCTTGCCAAAAACTCAGTCTTCCTTCTCTAAAGTTCTGACAGGGGGCCTGGCTCTAGCTCAGTTCTTTAAGTGGCTGCTTCCATAAAGTTCTGACAAAGTTCACCCACATGCACCAGCAGCCTTTTCAATATACAGGGAATGTGCTTCGCTCTGAGAAGTGCCATGAGCCACAGCCTTTATAGAAGATGCTGTTTTTGCATCGGACCTGCACCCACTCTCATATACTCTAAGCCCTCTCTCCATTACTTAGAAGAGCTAACCCCTTGGCAATGCTGAGTCAATTAGGTAATAAAGGCAAGGAAATATGAAGCCTGTGTGTTCCCTGTGAAGAGGTCATTTTTTCCAATGCTTGATGCTGGTCAATCGGTTGAATCCATGGGTGCTGAATTACCTGTTCCTAGGGCAAACATTCACTGAACACTGATTCAGCTAGAAGTTCTGGGGGGCAAGAGGTGTCTTATGATCTGACAGCTGCCCAAAATACCTTACTCTGAGTGGAGGAGAAAGTAAGCTTTCCTAAAACAGATGCTAACACTGTAGTGACCACAAGTCCATTGAGGGATTCAGACTCTTGGGCATGACGAGAGCTGCACAGAGGTAAGGAACAGTGCAGACCAAATAGCGCCAAGTGAGTCTAAGACTCTGGGAAGCAGGGGTGGTGTCAGGTTGGAGGCAGATGGAGAGTGGTGAAGACATTCTGGAAAAGCAAAATCAGAACAAAAACAAAAGAAAAAATGAGGAAAAGTAGCTTTCTCCTGGCTCCTAGTTGAGTAATTTCGCTGTTATTCCTGTCAGCCCTTTGGGACAGTTGTGTGATGATCTCTGGCTTTTAGAAACAAAAAGCTCACAACTCATGTCACATATGTGTGCACCCCTTGCCAGCCAATAGATCCTACATTCCCCAAAGACAGCATGCTCAGCAGCTTTCTGTCACTGTGACGAAAGCCCTAGAAGAACAACTCAGAAGAGAAGCGGTTTGCTGTGGCTCATGGTTTCAGAGATCTCAGTCTGGGGAAGGACAGCACCCCTGCTGTTAGGCCTGTGCAAGGGAAGGCCATGGCAGGGGAAGGCCACTCACCTGGGGAAAGCCAGAGTTAAGGGGCTGCGCTGGGCATCAGATGAAACCCGCAAGGATGCTACCCTCGGACCTACTCCCTAAACTCAGAACCACCTACTGCCCAAGTTTCCACTACCTTGCAACAATGCCCTCACATTATGCTTTCATCAATGCCTTAGTCCGCTGCTAATATCAGAGCTCGTGACCCAGTCACCTGGGAGTCACAGGGACCCATTAGGTCTATAGCCTACCAGGCAGGGACCTTCTTGGCACAACTGTTAAGGCCACCAAGCTCACTAGCACTAACTCCCTGTGAAGCCACCACATTTGTGTGACGTGTTGCATGCTGGGGATGAGCCAGGCCTGGCACATGAGGGCCACATACTCACTGTGGAGCCACAGCCCAGGCCAGGTGGTCTCGGTCATGCCTGGCCGCAGCCTCTTCTGTGAGATGATTGGTCCCCCAACCTAAGTTATCACCCTTAACTTAGCTCTCTGTAGGTTTTTCCTCCCAGGGTGACATAGCTCAGACTCTGGGGCCTTCAAGCCCAACCATCATAAAAGATCCTTTCATCCTTTTTACTTGAGAGTCTGCTGGCTGCAAGTTGGGGTACAGATGCAAGTTCCAGCTCAGCCCTGAGACTGCAGAATCCCTAACCCTCTTGAGGGTCACTTCGGAGATCAAGCCCTCGGAAGGGCAGATAACAGCCAAGTCGCATTGGGACTGAAGACCAGAGCCATTGTCTAAGTGACACGCAAACATCTGGAAGACAAGTGACAAGCGCAGCCCATCACATGGGAATTTTTCTCTGTGCCGGGGTATCTGACAGCCAGTGCTTTGGTCTCCTCAGTGAGCCTTATTGGGAAAGAACGTGCAGGCAGTGGCGAGGCAAGGGACCAGGGGATCCCTTGTTTACAATGTACAAGATCCTCGAACAAAAAGCCCTTCAGTTCCCACCAGGGCTCCTGGCCGGCCAAGCCCTTTCCACATTACCGGCCGAGCTGCCAGGGCAGGGGGTGCAGGGGCTGCTCAGCTCTTTGGCACCAATACTTAGCATTAAATTAGCTTTTAAATTCTGGCAACTCTCAAATTTCCATCTCTCGGACTCTTTCCCTGTGGCTTGGAAGAGCATTTGCTAAATATTTTACAACACATTATATGCAGCCTCCCGCTCCCGCTCCCCTAGGGCGGCTCACAAGTCAACCAGCAAATGTGTCCCAAGTTATTCATAGCACTCTCTCCACACTCAGCACACTCTGGGGCTGCACTCACCAAGATGGGAAGGAAAGGAGCCCTGGTCAGGAGTCAAGAAAGTTTTGAGACACCCTGTCAGCCCAGGCCCGAGTCCCTGTGACTCTTTGCTTGGACACAGGGACAATAGGGCATCTGAGGAGAAGGCCAAATCTGCGCACCCTATTTCTCCAGCCACAGCCAGAACTTGAACTGACTTTTGTGTGAGGAAGCTGGGCACGGTGGGCCAGCACCTGGGAGCCTGACGCAGGAGGATCACTTGATCCCAGAAATCTGAAGTCAGCCTGCAAACATAAGGTTCTATCTCAACAACTAAATAAAATAGGAAACTAGAGTTTAAAACACTGTCCAACCTCGGTTGCATCTGCCAGCCAAGGCAGGGGAAGAAACCCGCCCTACCTGGGGGATCCCGGCAGCAGGTGGGTAGCTGCAATGACTCAGTGGAAGTGATAGTGACCAGAGACTCCAGAACCACTCACAGAGGCTGAGGGGACACTCAGGGGCAAGGTGGGGGCAGGAATGGGGGCATCTGTGTGGCAAAGTTGTCACCCTAAACAGCAGTCTCCAACCTGGATGGCACCTGGAGATGCTTGGGAGCAGAGGACATGGCCAAGAGAAGAAGCAGAAATCTGGGTCCTACTGGGACCTTCTTACCCTTCTCTGCTAACCCTGAGTGACCAGCAGTCTGGGTGGCTCTGCCCTGGTGTCACACCCTCCACACCTCATTCCCACACTGAGACAGGTGACTCACTCTAGTCCCTCTAATCCACTTCCGGGCTTTGACCTTGGCCTGGTACTGCCCTCTCAGTCCTCCCTTGTGCCCAAGAGTCCAGACCTAAATTCCCAAGGACAGATATCCGGTCTCCCTCTGCCACTGCTTCCTCACACCTCAAGGTCATTTCCAGACCCTTCTTCAAACCTGCCATCCGATCTCCCTGCTTTAAAGAGGCCCTGCCTTCCTTCTTAAATTCTAGAAAGCTAGGACAGGAGTATGGCTTAGAGTGGGGCATTTCCCTAATGTAGGTGAAGCCTTGGGTTCCATCCCCAGCACTGAAAAAGGAGGGTAAAGGAAAAAAGAAAGAAAGTAGCAAATTAAGAGTTCAAAGAAGCCAGCCACTAAGCACTAGGTCTGTAATCCTAGAACTCAGGAGGTTGAGGCAGTAGGGTCACTAAGTTTGAAGCCATCCTGGGCTACACAGTAAGTTCAAGGTCATCCTGAACCACAGAGACCTTGTCTCAAGAAATCAACAGCAACAAAAAGAAAGAAGCCAACTAACTTATTTGGCTAGACAAGAAAGCACTCTGAATGTCAAAGAAGTTACATAAGGAGCCCTAGGTGCTAGGAGGCCACAGAATAACTTTATTCAAAGGCATTTATCACACACTGATGCCACCCAGGGGTCTCAGCACCTATGAAACCTAAAGCAGCGTGGATGCCTGCACTGGAGGCTGAGGGCCAAGGAAGGAGCTGTGACATCCCAGCAGGAGAAGTGTATGGCACCAGCTGTGTCCAGCATGCAGTGTGTTCTACATAGCACGAGTGGGCTGGGGAGATAGCTCAGTGGCTTAAGCACCAGCCTGGGAAGTACAAGGTCCTTCATTTGAACCCCAGTACCAAAACAAACAAAAAACAAAAAATCATAGCAAGAGTATCCAAGGTAGCCTGCAGAGTCACACTGACGTGGGCCAAGACTCAATGGCTCCGCAGCCCATGCTCTTGCCACCTCTGAGCCTCTCTCGACCTGAATTGCCCTCCTGTATAAGCCTGGGTGGCCGTGCCCAAGTCATGGGGTTGCTGGGATTAAATGCAATAACGGTTATAAAATACTCTGCGCAGTTTCCTGGCTCATCTCAGGGTCAGCCCAGGTATGGTTACAGGCAACTTCGTTGTTGTTGTTTTTAAAGTGCCCTTCACTAGCCAGGGTGTGGCTCTGCAGCAAAGCACTTGCCTAGCAAGGATTTGAGTTTCATTTCAAGCCCTGCAAAAAAAAAAAAAAAAAAAATTGCCACACACCTATGATCCCAGCCAATAAGGAGGCTGAGGCAGGAGGGTCATAAATTTGAGTTTGAGTCAGCTTAGGCAATTTAGTGGGACTCTGTCTCTGAAAGAGAGAGAGAGAGAGAGAGAGAGAGAGAGAGAGAGAGAGAGAGAGAGAGAGAGAGAATGCGCAGGCAGATGGAGAGGGAGAGGAAGAAGAGGAGTCAAAGCATTTTGTCCTAATCCACATGTATTAGGAGAAAAACATTCGAAGAACAACTGCTGTGTTCTGATTCGGAACAAATGCTCAGGATGAGGCCATGAAAACATTCTGCAAAAGCAACAGGCCTTTCCTCTTGTGATTTATGCTGCTAATTTTAGACAGATATTACATAGTTTGCATTTCCAAAGGAGTTAGAAAGAAGAGGAAAATTGCTAATTTGAGTCTGTAGGGAGAGGAATGGGCTATTTCCGGCCCCTCAGGAGCTGTGTAAATAGTTCCAGGCTGGCGTTCCCAGGAGGGTGTCATCTCAGGGGCTATTCAGTGCCTCCTGCTGGTCCCTAATGCACCCCAGGGGCCTTGGACAAGGGTGGGAACCCGCAGTCCCCCCCCACCCATCCCCACCACACCGGAAGCCATGATGTGTGCTCTGAATCCCCCACCCCTAGTGGCCTGAGGCTTGGCACTGCCCCTGTGTGAGTAAGGCCTCGGAAGGCCACCTTCCTCTCAGAGACACTGTATCT